AAGAAAGACTTGAGCAAACATAAAAATACAACACACATGAACACTCCTTAGTGTCCAACGAGAGCTTTACTGGAATTGCGTTGTTTAGATTAGTTATTGTTTAGTTTTGAGTAAGCTACAATTCTAATGTATATTTTGTTGTTAGTTTAATTGCTTCTGTCAACTGTCTCTATATATAAGCCTCTCCCCATTGTCATACGTATGTTAAATCTTTGTATCAGTCGTAGTTACTGTACCCTACAGTTTTAGAGAAGCATGTTCTCAAGTAACGAGTTGGGATTGTCCAGTCCCAGTTCCGCCATCATCTATCTATGTTATAATCACAAGGCGGAGGTCTTCTCTACGACTTGTATGCTAATACCCACCTAGACATTAGTACCACATCTTACCCCTCCCTCCCACACAGTGTACCCCTCTAAGTTGATATTCTTAGTGCATGTAGAATGGATCTTGCAGATACCTTATTGCGGAACGCCCTCTCTGTTAGTCCCGCCAATGGCAGGGTTGGGATTTGCCATAGGTACGTACCAAATATCAGCATTGTCGTCTTTCATACAATACATTAACCTGAATGATGTAGGTGCAGGCTGAAATATGACGGATAGTTTAAGTACGTTTGTATATTGTAATTTTAACAAGTGGTGTACTATATATGAGGAACAAATCAATTATATGATTTCAAAAGAACGCCAATTGTTTGCTTGACTTCGAAAGTGTCCTTGCAGGTATGGTCGATGCAACAATGATGCCACAGCTTGGTAATCTCGTGGACTTACGTCACGTATCCGTATATGGAAGTGTCTATGCCATTGGTGATGTGGCATTTTGTCTCGGATTTGCAATTGGTAAGATTCGGTTAAATATGAATCGATAAAGACAACTATGATGGAATAAATGAAATTCGTATATAACGGGAAGTGAGCCCAACTGGTGATATATTAAAAACTAAATACATTCCAAACTGTCTTTAAGATTAATAGGAGTATATTCAACTTTATGACTTACATAGTCTATAATTCATTGTTTTACCTTTTCAGGCCCGGCATTAAGTGGAACCATCGTAAAAGCAGTTGGATTCAGTTGGTATGTTCGTTTCTTCTTCAAGATAACTTGTTCGACCCATGTATGTGCGGCCTGAAATATGACATATTAGTTCCTGTAATTGGTTATGCTTTGTTGTTTTTTCTAGCTGTAATTTTTCCTATTTTGTTGAACGTTTTCTAATCGTTTATTTGGACCATAATTGGGTAGTTTAGAAAATACAACACCAAGAAAATACATGATGGGGCTCCCAGAGGGTATACACATTTTTCACCAAGTGCTTTTTTCGTAGTTTGAGTCTCAAGACCAATTATTGACCATGGACCGGCATTGGACTAGATTGGGGTATGGGCTAAAGAAACATATCATCCTATCAGCCTATAGTCAGTTCAGGGTATTGGGATGATCCCTTGGCGACAATACATCACAAAGAACAATTTCTGTTATATTTATGGTGCTGAAAAGTGGTGTTAAGTGGCAAGTGGTGTGACATTGGTGTTAAAAAGATAATCTTTTTTGAAATGCATCAAGAAATATTTGATGATTAAAAAATTTCAACTTTTTTGAAAAATGGCGGGAAATTTGAATATTTGAGAAACGACATGCTCACAACTTGTAAATAGTAAAAAATAAATGCTAAAAAAATATTTTCAAACTTTAGACAGGGACTTTAAACTTTTTTGATCAATTTTGCAAAGGGTTAATTTTATTCTCATCTGTCTCAACAAAACAGGAATATCCCAGAATTCATACTGTCATACTTCTCTTATGTAGACTATATCATTGATTGGCCAAGGGTTCATCTATAATCCTGGGAAATGACCTCTTCTGGAAGTAAAGCGTGGGAACATCTGATTTGACCAGTTCCCATAACAGTGTGTCACCTGTCATTTCTTTTGAATGATGTACACTTTCCTCCAAAAGATTGGAAACAATAGTACAACAGTAAAACCTATATATCTGAACACTTGGCTAATCCGAACACGTTCAATTTGAACATTTTTTTGGTCCCGTTTTTCCTCCCATTGACTCAAATGTTATAAAACCTTGAAATGTGAACACCTCCCAATTTGAACAGTGAACAGTCATGTTTGAAAAATTAAACTATCTAATCCGAACACTTCATAAAATATCACATGTTCCATTCAAAATTGCTCAAATATTTGAAAAAACGAGAATGATCTCACTCATGGTGGGGCTTTCTAGGATGACTAAATTCATTTGAATGGGATTGTCATGTCACTGTAATGCCATAAAGCTTTGTAGTCAAAAGAACAATAAATATTTATTGAGAATTTGTTCATATTTCTTCAAAATCCCAAACCTTGCAATTGCAAAACATCAAAATGTGAACACCTCCTAATCCGAATGCTTTTAGCTGGTCCCTCGAATTAGACAGGTTTTTCCTGTAGGTATAATTCCCTCTAAAAGTTACTGAAATCACTGGCTCGGAATTGGTGTTCGCTTACACACAGGTGTTCAATAGAGTAGACTCATGTGTTCACTGGGCACAGATCTCTGGGCACAGATCTTCACTAAAGAGGTGTTCATTATGACAGTTTTACTGTACTGAAATCAATTGCTGGGAATTCACTATATTCAAAATTGAAATGTGTGTATCATGCCACCCCTGCAAAATAATTGACTCGCCCACTTGGTCTCTTGGATCCACTTGCAAAATATATATAACCCACCACAGCCATGTTGTATGTATCTCCTATTTTGAAGAGTAGCACCTGTCACTCTGTGTGTGAAATCATTCATTGGACCTATCATTCTTCACAGGTTAAAATAGTTGATTTATATTTGAATTCGATAATAACATTTAAAAATTAAATGTGTAGTAGTAATACTTTAGTACCTCTTATTGATTAATGTATAATATTACAACATACATAATGATGTAGGCAATTTGTTTCATAAAAATCTAAAAGAGAAATTCATAATTTAAATTTACCCTCTGGGAGCCCCAAAATCTTAGAAAATGCATTTTCTTGGTGATGTATTTTCTAAACTACCCCATAATTGTCATGATTTTGGAAAGGAATGTTGTTACTCATGTTTTCATATCATACCTCTATGTAATGTTTGGGTTCCTTCATTTTCAGGATGTTATGGTCGATTTCCATCGTGTGTTTTCTATACGCACCTCTGCTATACTTCCTGAGGAACCCTCCAGCCAAGGAAGAACAGCAGGTAAGGTATCCTTGGTGGGGTATTTGTATAAACGTAAAGCGACTATATTTGTTAAAGTACTACGTTAATAAGTGTTGAAAACATCAAAAATGATTGAGATTTACATCTGTCAATTTACATTGAGATTAACATTAAATTGTAAATCCCATTCATTTTTGGTTAAAGTATAATATCAAAGATGCAGTGTTCAATTATGCGCCAATCCCGTGTCATGCCTAGCTCCACGCATGGTCTTTCTAGCAAATGTGGATATTGTTCTAGAAATCCCATGAGCTATTTATTATTTCCTGATTGGAAACAACATAAGGCGAATATATGATATTGCCATACCCAAAATGATGATAATACATTCATTGACGAATTGTTACCTATATTCCAGTCACTTGTAATGAACGAAAAGACGCCAGTACAGTACGTGAACTACCACAGTAGGAAGCAGAATGGATACACGGAGTTTAAAGACGAAGAAGAAAACTATGAAGAGGTCGACGGAAATTGATGAATATATTATTAGATAGATGATCTGGCTAAAGTATATATATATATATGTAAAGGGCGCGTATATAAATCCTGATGTATCTGTTGAATCTATAGATTGAAATTGAATGATGAAATATTTGCTCTCTCTTGAAGAGAATGCAAAATGCAATACATGTAAATTATTACATACTGAACTGATATCTTGAGATATATCCACTAAGTGACGATATGGCAAGATATAACGACATACTAGACAGGTACTAGACGGTGGTTAGATAACACATGGAGCTTAAGGATGGGAGTAATCTAATCTATATAAGATACTGTATGTCCGGAATTAAATGATAACTACTCCATACGTGAAAATTTGTGTACATCCAATGTTAGTGATGCGGAATGGACAGTAAAATGAGTCGACCCAAATTATTCCTAATCAAAACGTTCAATGCAGAGTATGAAGATATATTCAGTATATATTATGATTATCGTTGAGACACCAACTACTCGTATCTGTATTATACTGGCAAGAAATAAAGTCATACTAGTATAAAGCAATTTAGACCATTGTCTTCGTAAGTTCGTATACGTTTGCACATGTTCTTTTCTGTCGAACGCGACCCGTCGAAATACAAGATGGCATCGATTTTTAGGAGTAGCCTACGCCCTGGAATAACGTTGTTGTAGACTTGTTATAAACGCGTTGAAAAGTTGTGTTGATTCACACGGGAGCACCCTGACAACGGTAAAATCAGATACCGTTGTCACAAATAGCAGACACAGGTTCGTATTCGATTCGATTTTCTTTATTTGCATGTTTAATAGAGCACCTGGATTAAATTCGTTTGGTACAACAAGCAATCAAAGTGTCTTTCTATTAATTTAATTTTACAGATCGAAGTATGACACAGGATAACGGATGCTGTATAAATGATAACGGTAAATGTGGGTCAAATGTGCTGTAAAATCGGGAGGACAACGGTAATATTTGACAACGGTTTTTATAAAAACAACGGTATAGTCTCTAGTTCGAGTTGTCATTTCCTACCAGCACAATACATTCATCATAGCCCGTTGTCTCATCTTACCATGAGCCGTTTTATCTGTTATTTCTGTTGTCATTGACGATATGACGATATCCACGATATGGAAGATGGTGGCGATTTCATATAATACACCATCATAAGAGCTTAATACATGCATAGAATTAGCGATGATAAGGTCCTATGAAATGAGAACCAAGTGATTAGAGTTGAAGCGATGGTTACGCCATTTGTGACAACGGTATTTGACTTTACCGTTGTCAGTGTTTTCCGGTGCGAGTTTTGTAGTCTACACTAATCTCCTTCATATGTATATTCAAATATAAAATACCAACAAATAATTAAATGGCTCATTATCGTGATGATGTCATGTTTTAAGTCAACACTTTGAAGCGATACATTGAATGACTTCGTTGGCAACATCTACACCTGCATAATAAGCCCCAGTTACCTCACCACAATGAGGGCCATTAGTGTGCTCTCCACCAAAAAATAAATGTCCAACCGGTTCTTTAAGTTTAGCGTGATTATCTTCATCAAACCCAATCGGCCAGTTCGAGTAAGAGCCGAGAGTTGCCGAATTGTATGCCCAACGTGATACTAGGATAGCAGTGGGATCCGGTATCTTATCGCCATACATTGACCTCAGGACTACCATCGCTTCTGATTTTATTTCATTGTCTGACAACATTTCAACTCGTTGCGACTCAGTTCCAGTCAGGGTTGCGTATATTATGTTTGAACCTAAAATAATGTACATCGTATTATGTAAATGATAAAACTAAGGACTCAATGAAATGTAGATTATTTAGTAAACCACGTGTGTCTTTTAGTAAGGCTTTGAATGAAAGCGGGAGTCCGATTCAAATTCTAGGATTCACGAAACAGTGTATGAAATCATGCACAATTCGGTTGAGTCATGCATGACATTACATGCCTGTGAGCTCGAAATGCTTAGGTTTTACGTGAAGAACTTACCGGACAATACCTTTTTATGGTTGAGATTTTCCCAGATGGTATAGTATCCCTTCCTCTTAGATGTATGCACTATGAACTCCGTTTCATCCCAAAATTGTGAGGGGAATTTCAGAAATATTTTTGTATAAAGAGACATTTTAAAAGAGTTGATTGCTTCAAGCTTCTTATATGTTAAAGATGGCTTGAATATAATATTCCCACTCTGAAGTAGCCCTAAACTGAAGGTATTGATGGCATATTCAGCGTGTATTGTCGCTCCAGATTCGAGAGTTACTTGAACGCCATTTTTGTTTGATGTATTTATTCCGATCACCCGTTCATTGATCCTCAATTGAGGAGCACCGGGGTTCAGAAACTCATCGGCTGTGGCTTGTACTATGAATCGGTATCCCCTAGGGTCAACTATGCGATAATCATCGGGACTAAACTTGTCATTTCGTGACAAAGCACCGTGAATGAGAGATGTATGTTCACTTGGAACACCGTATTCAAAGTCGTAGTCAAAGTATTCAGCTGCGTGTTCAAAGGTTGTTCTAGCATCCCAACCTCCGAGTCTTAGAGCTACTCTCTTGTTGATGTCACTTCCGTTGTTCTTGGATTTGTAAGTTTCCAGTAGGTTTTCAATATTCTGAGCAGTTTCCAGGCGTTCATAGGCAGCATCTAACTGAGCAGTGACGTCTTGTCCATTCGCATCTCTCGCTGTATAATCCTCGTAGTCCGTGATAGAGCCACTTATGTTGAACTTCTTTATGAAGTCCCATATTGGATTTCCTGTTGTACCATGTACCCACCCAGCTCCTAACTCCAACGTAGCATTGCCTTCAATCCAATCAAACCTTTTCATTCGCCCCCCTAACTCTGCCTGTGACTCCACAATGATAAAATCTGTTATCCCTGCATCATTCAACGTCTTGGCTGCCATGACACCAGACATTCCACCACCGAGTATTACCACAGTTGTCTTATCTTCAAGTATATCATTCAAACTTTTTAAATGGATTGATAAATTAAAAGGGCAGTATAGACAAAATACGAGATATTGTTGAAAACTGTCTCGATTTTACAATATTTTAGCTCACAATATTTATGTCTAAAAATAGTACCTTGGGTACTAGGCTCACATGGTGTTGCTCAAAAGTGAATGATGGCTAAACTGACAGAAAATAAAAAAAACGGATATATACTTTTTTGTTGATTTTTTTGTAACAAATTTATTTCAAGCCACTTGCCACTAATTTGGACTGACTGAGAGACAGATGGACAAATCAATGTTAAGTAAAATGGCTGAAAAAATGACATAATTTTTTGCCAATTACTAGTATTTGTAACAAAATTATTTCATACAGTTAGTTAGTTAGTTAGTAAAATATTTGTTAAAGTCTCACACTGTAGTTAACAATATACATACTAAAATATCATACAATAATTAACAGTCCCGCCGGCTTCGGCGTATGAGAGACTCAAAAAAGCAATGTAAAAATATATCAAAAATATGCTCATATGTAAAAGTTTTAAATATCATATTCTCTTCTATTTTATGCATAGTTTTTGCCAATAGTCTTTGTAAAATAGAATTGTTCATAATTGAGTAGTATTTAGCTAGACTAGATAGAGTATTAAAGTCAACGATTTCATCTTTGCAAAGTTTAATAAAATCCTTTCGTGCATCAGTATGAAGATCACAGTCGATGAGGATATTCATTTCATCTTCGACCCCTTGTTGACACATGTACAATATTTCATTAAAGGGGATACCTTGAAACCTGCCTGTTTCAACCTTCAGCGGTAACGTTCCTGAGCGTAAGCGTATGCACGGAAATTGTTACATAGTGTTCTGGGTGTGAAGCATGGATTTTATGAAGCCGGTATACTACTCGTAGCTTATTACCATTAACAGGGTTACGGTTATCGTTCTACAATGCAGTATACCATGACTAGTGTTCTTTTGCAACAAGAATTTCTTTGAATTGTTTCTGATCAATTGTATTTTTATGTTTCTTGTTTCAACATTAATAAGATGTTCCGCTTCATAAGACCGCAGCATATTCTGGGTAACTTCGTTTACCATAAGAGAATAGGTGGATTTTCTTCATCACTCTAGAATTGTCCATATTCTGTAGCCGACACAATGTACGTGCTATTTCGACTTTTAGCGTCGCTGATATTGGAATCTAAGCCTTATCACCTTCCGTGGCTACATTAGGAGCATGCAGGTCTACTCGGAAAAACGTCTTGCTTTATTGGTCCCGACGGTGGCTGGCATTGTTGCGGATTTGGTAATTGCCCAGATAGCCGCAGCATATGTGATCACTGGTATTACAAGCGAGTTATACACATGCGTGTAAACTTTGTAGCCAAAGCCACCCATGGCACGGGACTTTGTCATGATTGCACCTAGTGCTCTGGATCCTGACTGTGGTAAAATAGTTGCTGTTTTAGTCATGTCTAAATGTTCATTCAGTGTTAATCCAAGATATTTATAAGATTGTGCATAATCCAAATTGACAGGTCCACAATGAAATTGGTATTTAATCTTGGGGTTGATAATGGCCTATGATAAATGATTTTTGTCTTAAGTGCATTTACCGTCATGCGCCATTTGGTACACCAAGTGTGTAGGGTATCTAGCATTCGCTGCAGGTTTTCCTCTGTGTCCGAAATCAGCGCTATGTCATCTGAGCATATAACAATATACCAACATTGGTGTCTTCAATCTGTATCCCGTATTCCAAGGCTGTTATCTCGCGTGCAAGATCGTTAATATAAAGAGCGAAAATCGAAGTGGACAACTTACAGCCCTGTTTTAAACCTGGGTGTCGACGCTAAACCACTTTGTCAGCGTACCATTCAAACAAAATGTTCATTCTTAATAAATACCCCCATTATTGGAAGGTAGGCCACATTGTAGCAATTCACAAAAGTAAAGACAAAACAGATGTAAAAAATTATAGACCTATAACTCTCCTAAGCTGTATATCTAAAGTTGCGGAACGCGTAATCTTCAAAAGACTTTTTGACCATCTCACTGTGAACAATTTATTTTATAACCTCCAAAGTGGCTTTTTGCCAGGTCACAGCACCCAGGTACAGCTTTTAAGTATAATTGATGTCATAACTAATGAAATTGAAAATGGGGCCAATGTAAGGAGGATTTATCTTGACATTTCGGCCGCCTTTGATTCAATGCCCCATGGGCTACTATTAAAAAAACTGAAAATGTATGGTTTTGGTCACAACATCATAGAAATCTTACCTATCAAATAGACAAGTAAAAGTTGTTTTGGATGGCCAAGAGTCTGAACTATCTGAGATGAACCATATAAACGCAGGAGTACCTCAAGGCTCCATATTAGGCCCCCTCCTGTTTCTAATCCATATCAATGATCTACCTGATAACTTAAATACCAAATGTTTTATATATGCAGACGACGCGTCACTTTACCAGTCCCTCACAGCTGAAACAGCAGCTGCTAAGAATAATGAATTACAAGAGGATCTAAATAAAATTCTCTTATGGTCAAATACATGGAAATTAAACTTCAAAGCTAGTAAAAGTAAAGATATGACTTTTTTTAATCCAAGAAAGCGCGAAATTTTGACCCCAGATCTTTCCCTTGGTAATGACAAGTTACCAAGAGTAAACAATCACAAGCACTTGGGCTTGATTTTGGGCAAAAATCTCACTTTTGACTATCACATTACTGAACTTGTAGCAAGAATAGATAAACTCATAAATCCGTTAAAAGTCTTCAGTAAGAAAATAAGTGGAAAACACCTTGAAACAATTTTTAAGTCTTTTATTTTGCCACTCTTTGATTATTGTGACATTCTTTACGGATGTGCAAATTTGACAAAACTACAACTTTTAGACCGCCTTTACTATAAAGCTGCACTTATTTGTTCAGGTACCATGCATGGAACATCAGCCACAAAAGTGTTGAATACTCTAAAGTGGCTCTCAAATAGACGTCAATATCATAGAGCTACCTTTATGTATAGAGCTCACAACAACTTCTTATGTTACTGAGATATTTGAACCACTAAAAAGAAATCAAACACATGAACTAAGACACCAACTTGACTATATTTTACCAATTAAATCCAAATTTTATGAAAGATCTTGTATCTCAAAAATAATATCAGAATAGAATCTACTCTCATTTGATTTAAAGAACTCATCTAGCTTAAGTTTATTTAAATCAAGCCTTAAAAGAAATATTTTTAACGAAACTGTTATTAACTCATCAGAATTGTCCATCTCAACTGTCAAGAAACCAAGAAATGATATTTAACAGAGTACGATGTGATTTCATTTTCAAGGCTCACCTTTACTCGCACAACTTTACCAATAAGTCGTGACCATTTAAAAAGAGAATGAACCGTTTAGTCCCTTTCTGTAAACCCAAAAACGAAAAAGCAGCAGTGTAATTCATATATTAGAACCGTCAATATTTTATTATCGTATATCATTTACAATATTTTTACACAGTATATTCATATTTCATCGAAACAGATAAAGTTTAAATCATTTTATTAACACATATTCATAAGAATGTCTAGTAAAATTGCGTTTCTTTTTATCGTATAGAATTTTATATGTAGCTTTTAACTAGATTTACAAATACACTATCATCAGATAGAAATTTCTATACAAAAGATTCCGTTGGCTTTGCGTAGAACTTTCTATACGGATGACGCTGGAAATATTAATTTTGTTATTGATAATCATTTGGTTAGCGGTATAGAAATTTCTATGTGAAGGCCAACGAAAAATTCTAATTCTGTTACTGGTAAAATATTTCTCCTGTATAGAAATTTCTATATGGATATATTATATACGGTATGGAAATTTCTATGTGAAGGCCAACGAAAAATACTAATTCTGTTACTGGTAAAATATTTCTCCTTGTATAGAAATTTCTATATGGATAAAGGCAAAAATAAAAATCGAAACGCTTCATAGAAATTTCTATGTGGGTGCATATTTAAATTATGGTTGCTGGTATAGAAATTTCTATAAGGATAGAGTAGAAAAATAAAAATCGAAACACTGTATAGAAATTTATATGTGGCCCAGAAAAAATATTTCGCTAGATTGCCTGTATAGAAGGTCAAAAAATAAAAGTCGAATGTCTGTATAGAGATGTGTATTCGAAAACCTTTGGTACTCAAAAGTTAAGTTTGCCCGTGAAGAGATTGCTAGTATATAATAAAAATGATGAATTCGAAAAATTAAAATGGAATACATCATATATAGAATGTTTGTCATGCATCTTAAATTTTCGGCCTATTGTAATTATTTGGAGGTATAGCCAATGAAGTCAAATTACATCACAACCAGAAAAATTACCGATTTCAGGTTTTTTTTATCGCTGAAGGTTACAAAAATTAATGATAAATTTGCAAATACATTCTATAACAACAACTTTCCACTATATAATCCACCCCAAGGTCATATAAGATTCAATTGAAATCGGCTTGAATTAGTATTTTTCAAAATTGTATGGGCATCGACAACAATTTGTCGATTTTATGCATTGTATGGGCGCTTGGAGAATTTTACCTCGCACATAAAAGTTGCAGATGTCGAACCGTTTTTTCTCAATTAAACTAATCAGAGCCTAACCTGCCGGCGCCCGTATGGTCACCGTACGATTATCGTACGTACGGCTATCGGTAACATCGTACGATCATGTGTGATTTTGCACAATATTGCAAACGTAATTATAAAATAAAACTTGACGCTTATATACAATTGGCCCGTCTTGTTCCTTACCCCGGGGCCACCATGGGAGCATATCTGGTCAAATATTCCCGATCCCCGAGCCCTTCCCCCGAATCTACTCTATGTATACATCAAAATGACTTGTCAAGAGGCTAAACTCATGAATGTTGAGAGATACAGATGCAGTACTTTGCTTCGATTTTCACTACGGCGCCCGGCCGATTGAGTATGTCGATAAAAA